ACAGACAGCCTCTTCCCAATATGCGTTTTTGCAATTTGCATATATGCAAAAACGCATAAAAACGTAAATGAATAAGCAAATTAGGATAATGACTGAACAAACGATGTAGATGTTAGTCGAGATATAAAGTTCAGGGTCGAAGGATTTGGCACAGTTGTGAACGACGTGTGAGAGCAACCCAGTAAAATTATCAACATGGGATAATTATATTGACTGCCCGCCCAGTCAGAACAATTAACGCAATTAAATCAGACTGGTTTGTTGCTTAGCTTTACGCTGGAAACGTCTGATCGGAGCAATAGCTCAGAAAAATTTGTCAGATGCCATCGTTTAATTTTTATAAACGGGAATCACTTAAACCAAGCTAATGGCGTCGATAAGGTGTTGTCATTTAGGACAGAAATAAAAACACATTTGCGTTTCTGGATGCCAGAATAGGGAAGGATTTTGAGGTTGAAAGTTAAAAAAAAAAAAAAAAAAGAAAACAAGGCGCATGCGCAAAAAAGTTGGCAACGTTAGCATATTTCTTCAGCGACAGCGATTTAAATCTGTACAATTTTAAATCAGCCAGTGAAATTACCGGTTCTTTCAAATATTCAGGAATACTGCCTGTGAAATCTAGTACCACCTCGCCGTTCTCGTATTTTGCAACCACAAAATCGCTTTTCCAGGTTGGCGCAAGATCTGGAAAAATTAATTTAGGCTTATGAAGCCTAGGTAAATCGTAAAAATTCTTGCCTTTTCAGCTTGTGTAGTCAATTTCACGAAAGGCACGAAAAAAGATTTCATTATTGTTTCATCCTTTGCGCACAGTATTAGTATTTGAAGAAAAGTTTTTTGAATCTTTGAAGAAATATGCTGTTTTTTTCGAAGACTCTTCTTTTCTGCTTTTTCAAACGGATGAATTAAAGATATCTTCTTTTTTCAGTAATTAAGAATTTAACAATAAAAGTCGAACTGTGCGGAAGACAAAAAAATTACGGGCAAAAGTTTAAGGTATTGCTCGTTAACAAAGCAAGCCTGTTTTCAAAGAAAACAATTCTACTTTGAAATTTTAGACCAATTTCAAGTATCGCCCAAAAACAACCCGAATTCATCACTGTTTTAGTAGTTTTCAGTACCTTTTACCTATGCCTACTCAGAATGGGTTCGAGTTTGAAGGCGCTAAGTTGGGCTCAGTGATGCTAGCTGGACAGAGATTGGTATTCTACTCGTTCAGAAAATCTGTGATGTGTGTCTCTTTTTTCATTTTCTTTAGAACTTTTCTTAGAACATATTTTTTGATGGCGATACCACTGAACAGGCGGTGGATGCTAACTGGAGGTATGTTGTCCAGAACTGAAAACTAGCCATACCCGGAATCACTAATTTTATTTGCAACTGTTCAGTAGGATTTTGGTGCTTTTGATATTTGCTGGATAATGTTGAGTATTATTTAATTTCATAAACAATGATTTTTATAAGAGCCAGAAGTCCAGCTTGTTTTCTTTGAAAAAATCGCAGTATTCCTCTCCCGCTTGGTTCCGGTGGTGCAGCGAAGTAAATTTGCTCATTAAATGCTTCTTTGTGAATAAGCAGATTAAAAAGCTACTCCAAGTTGCAGAAATCAACAATTTTCATGCACAAAAAGTTTCAGCTAACAAATGTTTCCAAATTACCTGGAACAAGCCTGACGCTAATTGTCCAGTTTGCGAAGCCTAGTGGACTTTGTGCTACACAATTGAATGATGTATCTTCGGTTATATTTGATACCTTCAGAGACCATTTTGCATGTCCCTCGTCAGCTTCTACCTAAAAGTACGTCACCGAGGGTGGATGATGTCATTTTTTATTTCATTTACAGCAGCAGTCAGTGCATTCCTTTAAAAATTCAGTTTCCTAGCTTTACTGGTTCTCAAGTTAAAAATACGAGAAAAACGCACTCAGACATATAACACACATACGCACAGACACGGGTGCGTCGGAATGTGTTTTGTGTAACTGTTCCAATACAAAACGCATAAAAATTGCTAAAATGTGAAGTTTATTTCGAAAACGAAAAATAACCAACCCAAGCAGGGTCAATGGGATAATACCCGGCACGTATCCACTTCACTGTCGGACGGGGTCGCCCGGTAGCATTGCATGAAAGCTCAAGCGCTGAACCTGGGAGAATCGTAATTTCGGTGTTACCTTCCACACCGTGGTCACCGTTTGATATCAAAATATAAGGTGCATTGCCTGAAATTAAGCTTTTCATCTCAGTTAGCAGCAACGTTATCTGTGGAAAATACAAATCTATTCTTACAAATCGAGAAAGCCAAATCGTTGGAGTGGACATGGAGAATAAGACAAATTAAGTGGAAAAAGCGATGAAGCAAGGAAGTGAGGTATATAACGGGTAGAATAAAAGGTATTTTTAAAAAGCGCTGGTGACTTTTGCGAACTAGCACACAAGTTTTAGTAAGAATGTATGGATCGAAAGGAAACCTGCAATTTCAAGTTATTCACGTTCCTTGACAAAACACAAGATTGAAAATACATATATTTCTTATTGCTTACCACGACCCAGTGTATACTACTCTTACACTTTACATGTATTGCTCGCTGTGAACTGCGATTCACTCGCATGAAAGGGGTTCGTAAAACACCCGCAAATCCATTGTGTATTTACATGCAAAATATATATAGCAAAACTACTCCGAGTAATACGTAAGCATAAATATAGCGCCCACAGCGCATCACACACAGATATCTTAAGATTTTTCGTCATCTCTTCATTAGAGCAGAGGGTGCTCATTTCCAGAAAACGCGAAGGATGTCTAGATTATTGATTGCGTTGGGTAAGTGGTTATTACTACTGAAGAAAGCTAGAGTTGCTTTTTAGGTGGAAGTAACAACAGTTGTCATTTCTAGGCAGTAACAGCAGTTGTCATTTCTATGCAGTTACTAGAGACCTTTCACCTCGAAATAACAATTTCGAATCTCGGAATGAACGAAAGTTAACAATTTTTGTCGAACGATCATTCACTGCAAATGACCGAGCTGCTCAATAAGCTATTTTTCCGCCAAAACTTTCACATGCTCGTACGTAAGAACTATGCGTGCCTGTGAAGTGAATTTGAAATTTAAAAGTTGTATGTGGACACGGAATACTGCTTTGAAAATTCAGCCTTTCAGCTTTTCTGGTCAGTGAGCTAACAGTTTCTAGCCAAAACTTTCACGTGCTCGTATGCGCAGCTCAGACGTGCGTGGAGGTTGGTGCAGCGTTTCTGGAATAGGACTTGACCAGGGATCAACTGGCAGAATTTTAGCGCCGAAGCTTGCTTGTCCACATGAAATACACCAACAGACGCACACGCATACATAACACACACATATAGAAAACGCGCAAACATACATACACAGTATGGGACATCAAAATATGCGTTTTTATGCGTTTTTGCCCATATGCAAATTGCAAAAACGCATATTGAGACGATCCCGTCTGTGTGCATGTATGTGTGTATTTGTGTGTGT